TACAGTATGAGGCTGATCACCACGTTTTCTGCATACAAAGTGTCTCACACTTATTTGATTATTGAAAGAGCTGGTGATTTTTTTTTCTCTGTCAATCGACTAATCAAATTGTCATCTTATTTAATAAGGTCTGAAACAGTCAGTGACCTTGGTTTGATGTTTCTACCGCTTGGTTAAGATGAGTAATGTCAGTATTTTTCTCACATTGAGCTGTGAAAAGGGTTTTGTTGGATTCAACAAAACTGTGTTGGCAGCATCAGTAAAAAACCTTGTGACAAACCTTTAATTAATACTTAACAAAACCCCCGATCTTGTCTTTTTGTTCTTGGTCTCCATCACCATGGTGAACCTCCTCCATCCTTACCATTCACATCCTCTTCTCCACCTCCACCCCACCCTCTGTCAAGGTGCTTTTTCTTGCTTTTCTTCTTCTCATCCTCCACCCTGTACTTCAGTTTCCTCATGGGGTCTCTCCAGCTGCACATGGACTTCACTTCAAAGTCATCGTTGATCAGGAAGTTCCTGTCGATGATCTCCGCCGCCTCCTGCCAGTTGTGGTAGCAGTCTGGTCCGAGGCAGAGAATCTCCTCCGCTGCGTTGGGGATGAGGATGGAGCAGTCGGGGCGCAGCACCACCACAGCGGGCAGCTCCTCCACATTAAACATGGCCTGCAGCTCTCTGTGGACACACACACATTGGCATACATATAATTTATACAGCAAGGCATATTTACATTACAATCATTTACCAGCAGGTTGTGCACACAACCAAGTGGCCAAACCCACGCACCTCCTGTAGGGGTCCTCGTAGGCCAGGAACAGGCACCTCTTGGGCAGATCTTTCAGGAAGGTTTCTTGCTCTTCCTCAGTCTGGTCCAAACTGAAAAGAAAAGGAACAATGGAAAATAAGGAGGGGAACGTTGAGAGTTTGGGATGAAGGGATAGATTCCAGGTCAGGAAACATATCCAAATGTTTAGACTTAGGACATTCGGTTCTCACAAAAATAGGAATATATCCTTATTGTTTCTAAGGGACAAAACAGGAGTATATGTACAATGTTAACCAAACACATGAATGCAGGTGCATATTTGTACACGGAACCTGCTAACAGAAAATGTTCATATTGAATTTGGGTAACGGGCATGGAGTGACCAAGTAACTGTCTTTTATGTCACATGTATGTCTCAAGTCTTTGCACTGAAGTCTTCAAGCCAAGACTAACTAGTCCAAAGTCTTAACCAGATGTTTCGCCTCTTTTGCATACTGCTTTAGTTTTTTATTTGGCCATTATGTAGTTTTTGTATGTAAAAACAGATATGTTTGGTATAATTTTCAGCCATATGCCGCTCAGTAACGTGACATTAGTTTGTGGTTCTGTCCCGCATCTTGATTGATTGCTGTCGAAATGAAGTGTCAACTTGCTGGAATAGTGTTAATGTTAGTTGATTCAAGACATTAAGTGAAAGCAATTATTTCGGGGTACACTTTTTAAATAACTTGTTTCAATCCATATGGGGGAAGGTTTTAATTCTAAAAGCTCAAGTCCAAGTGTAGTAACGTGTCATTGGTGTTTAAGCCAATTTGATCAAATCCAAGTCACGTGATTCGAGTCCACACCTAAGGGCTGTTGTTGAGCAGCTGATTAGGTTTAGGTGTTGGGGAATAAATGTGGTCCATTGCAAGTCTAATGCAAGTTTGAAGTGTCTCTCTGTGTGTTATACCTTATGTACACGAGAACAAGCTGAGCAGCTCGGTCGACATAGAATTAATCCGTCAACCGTTTGAAGAAGTTGCTGAGCGTGGGAGTAAACTGCTGGCATCTCTCACATGCTGCAGACGCAAAGAAGATTATCAGGATGCGGTTCTGCAGGCGCATGACGATATCTCTCTCTGTGTCAAGCTCATCCTGCTCTTTGTTGTTCTTCAACAGCATCCGGTCAACAAACAGGTCCACCATATTCACAGGAACGAGGACGGAGGCTAAGTAAAGCACAAGGGAGATATATAAAAATGTTTTTACAATGGATTAACAGTAGAATCATCAGGAATGCACAACATAGTATAAAAGAAAAAGGGCAAGAAAACAGATAGTTGTGAGGGTTATCACAGGCATGCATATCAGTGCCAAACGTGAAGTAAAGCATAGACTAACAACTATAATCTTCCTTCAACAACAATATATGAAAAAGGTTTTGCCATTTGCAAAGGCTTATCTTTCATACAGTATGATTTTGTAAGTAAGAAATATGTTTCCAGTCAGGCAGAATTACGAACAGCCCGTTAATCATATGAGCCCATCTTGCTTGCTGATACATGGGATAATCCTCATAGTTGCTTACCTCTCACAAATATTATCTCCCCTTGAGGCCGCAAATCCAAAAAGTAAACAGCTTTCAATATATTGTGTTTTCTTTCTTTGCAACTCCTCCTGTTGTCGTATGTGAATCTGTTCCCAGCCTGTCAGTTTATATCTCGTCCACTCATTGACTCCATCTCCTTCACCTTGACGGCAGTAGCTGCTCACTCCCTCTCCCTTTGTCTCCCCCTCCCCTGTCTGGGAGGGAGGGATTGAAAGACAAGGTGACAGAGGCACAAGTGACATGAAAGCTCACTGTGATTGTGTGTGAAGGCAGCAACTGAGCCGGAAAGCATAGAAATTACAGAATGAGTCGTGCTTGAAAAAATAAAAAGGCCTTAATGAGGTGAGAGCCAGTGAGACCTTTATTATCCAGTAACTAATGGAGGAGCAGAACCACAGGGAGAGTGTGGTTGGAGATAGTCTGATTTCCTCCACAGGGAAATACACAATAAAGCCATGAAGCACAGCAGAGATATCAAAACAGTTTGTGCTAGCAAAATAGAGTGTATTGTTTTTGGAAGTACAATACAACTTATACTTAGCAAAATATATATTATAGCAACTTAAAATTAAGCTCGAGAGACATGCCATACATAACAAAACAAATGCAAACACAATGCTTTAGAAAGTATTGAATTCCTTTTTTTTTTACATCAGGCACCAGCACCTAATACGTTTTAATGAGGCAAACAGTTGTTTTTAGCAGTGTCTCAAATTTGAAATACACCGTGAACACTAGGCCTACTTACTTGCGGCTGGTTACCAAAATGTACTGTCGCCTCAAATCAAACATAGCTGTTGTGCACTTCCTGTAAATGAAAGAAACATTTGACTACTGTAGTTTAAGTGTATTCCAATGTTTACCAGAGCAACCAATTGGGTTTCCTTAGCCTACATTATTAGACATATAGGGGGATCCCCTGTCTTCAGCCAAGATGGCGACCACTTAGGATGAGATCTGTGAAATGTTCCAAAAACTACTTTTTGGTATTTTTGGTTAGATCAAGTATACTATGCTCTATTTTTTAAAAACTGACCACAGACAAGTGTTTGGAAGGAAATAGAATAATAGATGGTAAACTGTTTTGTTGCACTGTACAAATAGTACGTAGCCTACCCTCTTAGTTTCCAACACACAAAAATAAAGACCCCTTTACTATTCTTTTGACAGTCACCTAATTTTAAACAAAATACCGGTACAAAACGGGTTGATCAACTTATTACCTGAAAACAAATGCAAATTTGAATTGGCTTATGACCGAAATCGAATCCCCTCAGATTTCTGTATTATTTCCCTTCAGCCAATATCTGCTCTCTTAACCTCAGTGTGCCCACACAACAAAATAAAAAAAGTTGCACGCCCGAGATAGAGTCTTTATCTTCAGGAAAGGTATATCACCGAGAGTCTGACTCACAGGGAGGCCAGTCCTTATAGAAACAGTTCGTGATCAGACAGATTAAACCTTCAGGCAGTGGAAATGAAGTCCTCGTCCAAAAACACACCGAAAGTAGGCTAATTTCCGGCCAGCAGAAGCCTCCTTTGATGCAGCAGCTGTGCTCACGACGTTGGTTTAGCAGTTAGCACACACACAATCACACAATAACTCCGCCCTTATCACCTGAGATTAGGCAAGAAACACGCGTTACAGCTTCCGCTAAAGTGTATTGCTCATAACTAAATTATTCAACAGGCTAAACTATCCTCGTTTTTCTCACCATGTCTCTAACTTCTTGTTCATTTCTCTCTAGCCTCGCAGATCTCTTTTTTTCTTTCTCCTGCCCTCTTCCTGACCTAGGACCAATTACCACAGGTGTGACACTACAGCAACCAATCAAACAGCGAGGGTGAAACCAAACGCTAAATCAGCGTTTTTTTTGTGGTTTAACCCACTTTCTGCCTTCAGTGTTCTTTAAAATGTTTTGTTTTAATTTAAAATGTTAAATTGAATTAGTTTCCTCCAACTTAGGGCTATAAGGATTCATTTCTTTAACAGGGTCTGTAGCATCCGGATATTCATTGTGCACTTTCCCATATTTCTAATGAGTATAGCTACTTAGCAATTATCACCATTTGTTTATTACCAACTTTTTTTTTACACAACCAGCAAACAAGGTCATTTGTTAACGTTTTGACCCTAGCCACCTGATAAAAGTAAGTCCAATATTCACTTTCTTTTAACTTTGCTTTGCACTAACATAGGACATTGATTTGGCAGCCTATGCCCCCTTTGCTGTTTTCTCAATTTCTAAAAACTGCTGCATGGTGCATCTTGAAAGGAAGGGGATATGACTTCAGGTACTTGGCAGAAATTCAAAAACAATGTACTTAGATTTGTGATTCCTGGGTTAAATGATTTACAGGTAGACATTTATAAAGACCATTAGGAGCAGGACCATTACTGTGTATATTTATGTTTTTGTTTGAAAACTGGGATTTGCTCTGACTGAGAACTCACCCTTTGTGCTAATACATCCTGCAACAAAACAGAGGAGCTGTTTTCAGTGTGCATTTTTAAAGAGTCCTCTTAATGAGCCTGTTAAGAGGCTGCAGTATCAGTCACCAAAGGATTAATGATTAAGGAGGCTGGACTTGAATGTGTAAGAGAACAAAAGCAAAAGTGTTTTCCTTTGTATTTTCTCTTCATCTTATTCTCCATATTCCTTTATCTCCATCTTTTCTCTTTCTATCCCAGGCTCCATCTTTCTCCTCCTCTTCATTTTCATCTTTGCCCTTTACCCATAACTTCCACCATCTCTTTTTCCTCTTGTCGTCCTCTGTCTTGTACTTGAGTCTCCTAACAGGGTCAGTGGCACTGCGCATATTTAGGTTGTCGAAATCCTCGTTGAGCATGAAGCTCCTCTCAATGACCTCCGCTGATTCCTGCCAGTCTCTGAAACAGTCGATACCGTAACTACAGATGTCCTGCACAGCATTCGGAGAGAGTACGGAGCCATCAGGGCGAAGGACCACGACTGTTGGTACGCTCTTCACCTTAAACATGGCCTTCAGCTCACTGACAAAGAGAAACACACACACACAGCTACCTTGATGCACTTGTATAAGAAATACACATATTTGACTTTAGAAAACCTACACTTTAACATGTGAAACATACGAATACAGAAACATTGAAACTACAGAGGCGCTCTTTTCTGTCTACTTACTTCCTGTATGGATCCTCAAAGGCCAAGAACAGAACCTTTTTGTGCAGCTCATTGAGGAATCTCTCCTGCTGCGCCTCAGATTTGTCTAAGCTGGAGAGAGGAGATGGAAATGGAAATTACATAAAAGATAAAACAGTGTGAATGGGAGTCCATGCGAACACATGGGGTCATCAAAGAGACAGACAGAAGTAAAGATAGAGACCTGATGTAGACAAGTGCAAGCAGTTTGGGGTATTCAATGTACGCTGGATCTTTGAGTCTCTTAAAAAAGTCATTCAGTACAGGGATGAACTCCTGGCAGTTTTCACACTCGGAGGATGCGAAGAACAGCATTAGGATTCTGTTTTCCAGGATCCCGACAATCTCTCGCTCTGTGTTGAGTTCATCCTGGTCCGTGTTGTTCTCGACCAATACTCGGTTTAGGAACAGGTCCACCATGATGGAAAAGATGGTGCAGGTGTTCTGTGTAGAAGAAACGGTGACATATAGATTTGAATATTTGGGAAGATAAATCATGCTTAGTGCCTGTTTCCATGCCAACTCTATCTGAAAAAAAGGTAGTCTAACACTGGAGATCATTATTCGATCATCTGAGATTTTCAGTGCAGTCTCAGGAGTAAGTGATTTCACACTGACTTTCAACATCCCACAGAGAAGTGTGAAGCACACAGCTGATCTATGTACTGAGAGGAAAAGTAGCAATAGTACTGCAGCAGAAAGATACTTTTTTCCCATACTGTGAAGGCACTAACTAATGCTGCAATGCACACCCCAAGGCATTAAATATTCATGATTTAAAGAGACAAAATAAGAATCAAAGTTTGGAGAAAAAACGCTGTTACTTATTCAGAGTTTCACCACGCAGTACTTTGCTTCAGCGGGACTGTGTGGGAGGATCAGATTTGATCAACTGTGGCAGCACTTAAAGTAAAGAAAAATCCACATGTTGATTAAAAGTTGCTTGACAAATCAAAGGTTCCAACTTCCTGTTCTCTCGCGTAGGAGTCCATCACTCAGAGGAATGATTAGCCGCTGTTTCGGTGTTTGTTCTGCCCCAATATACTTTATAAAGCTTAACATTTCTTTATAACACACATATTTAAGAAACTTAGAGGCACTATTCTGGCAAGGCCTTTGCTTATCTATTCCCAAGTCTTAAAAACAGGATACAAAACGATTATATCAGATTTAGAAAATGGATCCTCAGAAATGTTTTCTCCCTTTATTTTCTCACTGAGCTTCTGTTCAGCTTTGGATTATTTGATTGAACAACTTTTTTGCTATACTTAAACAAGGATATATATCTGTGAAAACCACACAGCAGTGCAAAGTAGAGTAAAAAATGTACGAACAACTATTATTAAACGTTGTTAAATAAACAAAAAACAGCTACTGAATTGTGCACATTATGTTAAATGGTCTAGATGTGACCAGTTATTAATGTGATAATAAAATATCTGAACACTAGTATATTTGATCAACAGACTGTTTTTGTTTTTTTAATTGTTTTGTTTTTTAAATCTATACCCAGGCCTCCCATACTGATAGTGAATGGATTACTCTGAAATGAAGTTTTCTGTAGCTATTAAAACACTCATCCAAACAAAAAGAAGTCCAAAAATGTAATCACTTTTATAATCAATAAGGTAAAAACATGTTGGGTGACTGTCCTCTTGTAGTGGTACAGCTCAGGCCCAAGTGACCTGTACATACAGTCTATAATCTTACATAGGTTTTGTTTACAAAAGTAATTTACTACACAATAGCTCAGCCAGGATCAGCTGACAAGGATGAATCGGCCATTTATGCGATGGTGTTTTCCAAAAGAAGACTTATGGCTCAGAACAAAAAGCCTCATAAGAAATACCTTTCATATTAAGAAATAAAGTTCAGACCTAACATCTCAGAAAGGTGCTTTATCTGCCTCGGCCAGCCTGTATTTCACTGTCGCAGCCGTCGCTGCCGGCTGTGAATTGACAGCGATAACCTCACAAATTAGATTTGGCTCTCTGGCTCTTAGCTGTGCCAGATCTATTTGAGACCACCACTCTGGAATCAGACTTCCAAGGCTGATGGAGGAGAAATATGTTTGAAATTGAGCAGCATCGCACCTCATCTGAGAAGAAAAATAAAGATTTACTTGAAGACTCTGAAGGGTTGGAGCTTAAATCTAACATTCAGAAAAGTTATTTCATAATAATCCTGTTCACTTTTTGAAGCTGATCGATCGCCCCTGATACAAACAAGCAACTCTACCTTGTTTTTCTAGTTGCAAATGTAATAGGCCATCGATCTGTGTAGAGTTGTGTCAGCTGTATGTACCAAGAGTAATTTACCTCACCTTGAAACTCCTCGACTCCTTCAAGGAAAGAAATATATCCAGTTACTTCTCTCTCTCAAGCCATGCTTTGATTTGTTTTCTTTCTTCCTTTAAATCATGTGAAGTTGGTTATGTTAGCGACACCTTTCACGGCCTCTCTCTGTCATTTCTTTACCGTGCACTCTGCGGTCTACCGAAGAAGATTACAGAGAGCTGGAGGTGTGTCGTGCTGTAAATCAGGAGCAGAGGTTGCTCCTTTGTGTGTGGCTGTGTTTTTGCACTGTGGGCCTTTAAAACTCCAGCTCAAGAGCAGCAATCGTATTACCTTAAGAGAAGAAGGGAGGGAGCAGAGGAAGGATAAAGTTACAGACAATTGGATTGCTAAGGGAAGACTGGCGTGTAGGTTAAATGGTGGAAAGAAAACAGATAGGAAGAAAAAAAAGAGAATTTAAGCCTTATAACCTGCTCAAACCTCTCCTTAATTCTTACTAACCACTAATGTCACGTATTTACCCCCTCAGAGCTTTATAATGATTATGTCTCACTGTTATCAAGGTGATTTGACAGCCAGGATGTGGAGCTTTAAAGAAAATAAACTGAGAAAGTCAATAGCTGGTTGGAGTAAGCATCAGCAGGTCCAACTGCAGAACAGTGACTATTGATCAGCAGAGGCGCTCGCAGAGAATACCTGGGCTAATCTCACAGAGGGGTGAGGTAAATATAGAGGTGGGGGGGAGGGAGATCTAATAGGATTAGTCTGAGTCACAGGCGAGTGCCTCATGGATACGCTCACACCAACACATGATTAACCCAATTCTGCGAACATACAGTAGGAGCAAACACACACAACAAGTGCTAAACCTTTTAACCATGATGTTTGGGGCATTGTTGATCATGTTCTCAGGACGAAACGTAATAACTAATCAACACTAAGATGGTTGTTGGGGAAATATTTTCCTAGGCCCATACCTTTGACCCAGTTTATCAGTTTGTACTCCCCTCAATGAGCACAGGCCTGCAACTTTGGGCTGCTTTGCTCTCAGTGTTTTGTCTCCCTGTTCCTTCCTGTTGGCCTCAGCTGATAGAGGTGTTATAGTGCTTTGCCTGATTAATCTTGTTATGCAGCATGTTGATTATTCTCTCAGAGCGAGCTAGCTACATGGGAATGGGGAAAGATTCTTCAGAATTGGTTGGGCACCAGCTGGCCCATATGTTACGGCCACAGCTTCTACACGGCAATAGTGGCTCGCGCTCAGACCCGCAACATGAAAATAGACGCAACAACCAGTAGAGTTAACATCGACCATTTACTTTTATTGAGCCGTCTTCTTTCAACAAGCCAATCTAAAATGAAAAAGGTCTGGAGGACTGGCCAAAAAGAACAAAAGGGTGGAGGGAGCCTGAGCCAGCCACACCATAGGCCGTATGACCCAGAACTTGCCCGCCTAAAGTCAGGTGTATAACCCAAAGTAATAAATAAAGCACGAAAACTGGACTACCAGGTCCTCCAGGCTAAAAAGAGTCAAGACAAGAGACTGCATCGCTCAAACCTAATTACAAATAGGGGTCTTCAGTAGTGAGTGTCTTCCGGCGTCAGAAAGAGAGAAATCCTTCTTCTTCTTCTTCTTCTTCTTCTTCTTCTTTTCTTTAATGGCGAATCGCTTCCACTTGGAGCATATATCGCCACCTACTGTTGAGTTATTACA